CGTTGCTACTTCATAACTCTAATTTTGCTACTGTTAGAATTGTAATGTGAATATCTGATATGCAGGCTATCTTAGGTGACCCCCCGTGAAAGGGTCATTCAACCCTTTCAGGTTGAGAACTGCTGAAATAGAGTGAGCTTGTTACCGCCAGCTGACTGCCTTGAGCAAGTTCCAGATGATGCTGCAGGAAGGGAGAACCCCAGAGGAGCCCAGTGAGCTCCTTTAATTGAGGAGAAGATGCTGAGAACCCTGACAGGAAAAGGGAGGCTAGCGTTTGCAGTGTAAAGTGACTGAGATGAGACAGAAAAACTCTGGAGATCTCAGAGGGCGCTTTGAGTATGCAGCAGAGGACTGATCAGCACAGGCATATGAGAAAGCTACCCAGGCTGGGGAAAGAATCACCCAAAAAGATTAGAGGGACTGACTCACAGATCTTACCGTGCCTGTTCTCACCAGCCAGCCTAGAAAACCTCAGCAGGCAGAGATTAGAGTCGCCAGAAGGTACCGAATACTTGTCATTGGCCACGAGGAAAAAGGATCCCTTTTCTAAGCATCTGTGTAGTCCTACCTAACCATTCCTAAAAGCAACACCTGGAACTGTGTCCATGTAATGGAACTGTACCCCAAAACAAAGTTCAGGAATATTTACATATGGGAACACGGAACTCTCCAGAACCCAACAATGTAAAATTGATAATGTCAGACATTAAATAAAACCAGACATGCAAAACTACAACAAAAACCACACACACACAAAACCCCCACTAAACAAACAGAAAAATATGATTCACAATTAGGAGGAAAATAATTAAACCAAAACTGACCCCAAATTAACACAGGTATGAGAATGAGCAGACAAGGGCATTCCTTTTTATTGTTGCATTCTATGTGTTCAAAGAGCTCAAGAAAAGATTGAGCATGTTACAGCAAGTAGAGACATGAAAGATGTACAAAAGACCCAAATTGAATTTTTGGAGATACAAAGTCTGAGATTTAAAAAGATATACTGAATGTGATTAATGATTGTCTCAGTCCATTCAGACTGCTGTTGACAAAGTACCATAGACTGAATGGCTTACACACCAGAAGTTTTAACTTCCAGTTCTGGAGGTCAGAGAGCAAGGTGCCAGTGGGGTTGGAAGTCAGACAGACTGCTTGTATTCTCATGTGGTGGAAAGAGGGTGAGAGAGCTTTCTGGGGTCTTTTTTTTATAAGGAGGGGCACCGATTCCATTTATGAAAGCTTCATCCTCATGACTTAATCACCTCCAAATTTCCACCTCCTTAAAGAAAAGATGCAGATGGGGCTGACAAAGCGGTTTCATCAAGAAAGCACTGTTATGCCTTTGTCTCTAGTTTCATTGGAGAGAAGTGAATACCACAATCTCCAGGGAAAATCTGAGGACCCCCTGCTTAAACAGGGTCTTCAAATGTACGGGGCGAAGTAATTAATGTTACCACCAGGTGGCAATAATACCACAGCGATGCTGGACTAGTAATAGGCTTGTCTTGATTGCCTCCAAATCAACTACACAAATAACCTTAGGTGAATTTTGTGCTACTCATGGTCTACTACCCAATTATGTGGTAATGCACTAATTACATTTCTGCTCTAAAGTAACAATAGTAATCAGCCTATGCAGCCTCTACAGTGGAAGGCTTTGTGGGGAAAGCTTTTATTCCCCTCTGCTACCTTCTTACTTAGAAGGAAATTAGTCTTAAAGGGACTGAGAATCACGAAGTGGGGAGTGGGCATGGACAGGAACAAGAAACCATTCAGATAAGGAAGATGAGGCCAGAGACATGAGGAGTGGATTTCCACAAAATCCTCCTCCTAGAAACATGATCCCAGTTCAGAGATCCTGAGTCTCCTACCAGGAATCCCACCAAGACTATGCAGGCTTCTCATCAAGGAGAGGGGATCATCTACTTCGTGTGCTCTCAGTATTACACAGGCTTCTTGAGTTCCTAATATGGAAAAGGCACTGTGCCTGGGGTGTACTAAGGCAATAATCCTATATATTGTAATAAAAGCCTAATATGCTAAGTATCTGGTTGTCTGGTCGTCCAGTTGTCCATGCAACCAATCAAAGAATAATATGCTAATGAGATGCCAAGGCCACTCAACCGCTTGCTATGACATGCACTGACCAACAGGGGGCAGACAGTTGATAGATAGGTTAGCTTGCTGCTGAGGTGTGGTTGATTGGGACTGAGCGAGATGGGCCGGACACACTCTGGAGCCCTGTTGTGGTCCCTCCCAGACTGGCCAACCTCCAGAATTTTTCCCTTGCCCTGATAGTGCACCAGTAGGGTCCCTCTGCCCAATGGCAGAACTACCAATTGCTATGATGTGCATGGACCACCAGAGGGCAGATGCTCAATGCAGGAGCTGCCTTCTGGTGGTCAGAGCACTCCCACAGGGGGAGCGCTGCTCAGCCAGAAGCTGGGCTCACAGCTGGTGAGCGCAGGCCAGCAGGGGAGGGCAGTTGGGGATGACCAGTCTGCAGGGGAGGACAGTCAGGGGCAATTGGACACCCCCAAGGCTCCCAGATTGCAAAAGGACATAGGCTGGACTGAGGGACCCACCCCTCCCTGAATGCATGAATTTCATGCACAGGCCTCTAATAAAAAGTAATATGCAAATAGACCATCATCCAAGACACAATAGCTGTCCCCATGTGGTCAAAGATGGCTGCACCCATGTGGACATGAGATGGCTGCCTCAAGATGGCCTGCAGGGGAGGGCAGTTGTGGCAGTTGGGGGCGACCAGGCCTGCAGTGGAGGGCAGTTGAGGGCGACCAGCCCAGCAGGGAGGGCAGTTTGGGGTGACTGGGCCAGTTGTGGCAGTTGGGAGAGACCAGTCCTACAGGGGAAGGTAGTTGGGGCAGGGCGCCAGGCCTGAGGATGGGGCAGTTGGGGGGGATCAGGACATCAAAGGAGGGCAGTGGGAGGATCAGGCCTGCAGGGGAGGACAGTTGGAGAGGACCCAGACCTGCAGGAGGGCAGTTGGCGGGAGTGGGGGGGGAGACCAGCCAGCAGGGGAGGGTAATTGTGGGCAATCAGGCCAGCAGGGAGGGCAGTTAGGGGTGACTGGGCCAGCAGAGGAGGGCAGTTGGGGGAGACCAAGTCTGCAGGGGAGGACAGTTGGGGAAGACCAGGCCAGCAGGGGAGGGCAGTTGTGGGCAATCAGGCCAGCAGGGAGGGCAGTTAGGGGTGACTGGGCCAGCAGAGGAGGGCAATTGGGGGAGACCAGGCTGGCAGGGGAGGACAGTTGGGGAGGACCAGGACAGCAGGGGACGGCAGTTGTGGGGGGAAGACAAAGCCTACAGGGGAGGGTAGTTGGGGAGGGGCAGGCATGCAGGGAAGGGCAGTTAAGGGTGACCAGGCCAGCAGGGGAGGGCAGCTAGGGGAGACCAGGTCTGCAGGGGAGGACAGTTAGGGGCAATCTGGCCAACTGGGGAGCGGTTAGGTGACAATCAGGCTGTCAGCGAAATGGTTAGGGGGTGATCAGGCTGGAAGGCAGAGCAATTAGGGCAATTAGGTAGAGGCAGGTGAGCGGTTGGGAGCCAGCAGTCCTAGATTGTGAGAGGGATGTCCAACTGCCCCCTAAATGGGTGGTTGGCCATTCCTCAAGGGGTCCCAAATGGAGAGGTGGCAGGCTGGCAGAGGGATACCTCCCCCCCTTGCACAAATTTCATGTACTGAGCATCTAGTAACAATAATAATCATACTGATATAAATCTTTGCCCCCAGGAACTTGGGGTTCAGCTAATGAGTTAATGGTCAAGCATGAATCACAAACTCCCTTAGATAATGTAATGCAGTGACAGGTTTTGTACAGAGAATTGACATAGATGTACTGATATTTTTGAAAGACCTGTCTGTCTTCTATTTGGCAAAAAAATATTGAAAAGGATTAAGGGTTAAAGCAAAAACTACTATCAGAGGCTGTTATAGTCATCAGGTAATAAACAATGAATGCTTAGTAGTAAAGATGAAGAGAGGTAAACAAATCCCAGATATATTTTGAGCAAGACTAGGTAAGATATGTTGTTGTCTTAGATGTTAGGGTTAAGGAAGAAGAAAGGATATGAAAGGGTGGGTGGGTGACATTTACTGAAATGGGGAAGGCAGGAAGAGGAACAGAAGATTAAGCATTCAATTTTAGACATGATAATTTGAAATGTCAGGGAGACATCTAACTAGGGATATAAGGTTGGAGCTCAGGAGGAAGGTATAGGCTAGACATTCAATTTTAGAGATCATCAATATAAAATCCTGAAAGTAGATGAGATTGTCTTAAAAATGACATAGAAAGAGAAGAGGGCCAAGAATTTATCCCAGGAGGATACCAACATTTAGAGTTCAGGCCAGAAATGGATACAAACAAAAGTTACAGAAGACACCCAGAGATGTGTTTAAGAAAAATTAGAAGCCTGGTTGGTGTGTTCAGTGGTTGAATATGGATCTGTGAATCAAGAGATCACAGTTGAATTCCTGGTCAGAGCATATGCCCAGGTTTTGGACTTGATTCCCAGTAGGATGTACAGGAGGCAGCCAATTAATGTTTCTCTCTCATGATTAATGTTTCTATCTCTCTCTCCCTCTCCTTTCCTCTCTGAAAACAAAAACAAAAACAAAAACACAGCTTAGAAGAATGTGGTATCATGAAAAGGGCATCCTTCAAGGAGGAGTAATCTCCTGTATCAAATGCTGCTGAGTGATTAAGCAAAGTAAGGCCTGAAAAGGAAAACTGGATTAAACAATATAAGAACTCTTGGTTATCTTCCCTAGAGCACATTAAGTTAAATGATAGAAAAGGAAGCCAGATTAGAGGACTTGAAGAGGAAATGGGCACACAATACTAAAAATAAATCATAGATGACTTAGATGAGAAAGGAGAAACTAAAACTTTGAAGAAAACATGGAAGAATATCTTCATGGTTTTAGAATAAGAAACAACATTGTGAACAATACATAAAAAGGACAAATCAGTCTCTTCCTATCTCTCATCATGGCGCAGGACCAAGGGGAGAAGGAGAACCCCATGCAGGAACTGCGCATCCGCAAGCTCTGCCTCAACATGTGTGTGGGGGAGAGCGGGGACAGGCTGACGTGGGCGGCCAAGGTGCTGGAGCAGCTCACGGGCCAGACCCCTGTCTTCTCCAAAGCCAGGAACAGTGTCAGATCCTTTGGCATCAGGAGAAATGAAAAGATTGCTGTCCACTGCACAGTCCGCGGGGCCAAGGCAGAAGAAATCTTGGAGAAAGGTCTAAAGGTGCGAGAGTACGAATTACGAAAAAACAACTTCTCGCCGAAGCCAGTTTGGCTCAGTGGTAGAGCATCGGTCTGCGGACTGAAAAGTCCCAGGTTCGATTCCGGTAAAGGGCATGTACATTGGTTGCGGGCACATCCCCGGTAGGGGGTGTGCAAGAGGCAGCTGGTCGATGCTTCTCTCTCATCGACGTTTTTAAGCTCTCTATCTCTCTCCCTTCCTCTCCGTAAAAAATCAATAAAATATATTTTTAAAAAAACCAAAAAACAAAAAACAAAACAAACACAACTTCTCAGATACTGGAAACTTGGGTTTTGGGATCCAGGAACACATAAGATTCTAATTTCCAAGTTGCTAGCAGGCTCTCTCCATTGCTGTCTTTGGTGAAGCAGGCTGCTCTGTTGGAGGGGCCCACGTGCAAGGGACACGGCCAACAGTCAGCAAGAAACTGAGGCCCTCAGACTAACAGTCTTCAAGGAACTGAATTCTGCCAACAACTACGTGAGCCTGGAAGCGGATCCTCCCCAGGAAAGCCTTGAAATCAGACCCTAATGCAGGCCAACACTTTGCCTATGGCCCCGTGAGAGACGCAGAAGCAGAGAACCCAATTAAGCTATGCTCAGATGCCGGGAACCTGGAACCAGGAACCAGGAACAGGGAACCAAAACCTAGCATTGTCATTGGAGATAAAATGTAAAAAGAGCTATGCGACCTTGATGGCTCTGAATGGTCAGAGGCATTAACTCTTTGTATAGTTGAGATAGTGGTGCTTGAGGCAACTTTAATCTGTTAATCATATGTAAATGTAAGTTGATTTTCTGCTGTTAGAACTTCCTCCTTAAGAGATATCTTTGTTTCAGAATCTCAATAAAAGGAATGGTAAAAGGCCAAAGAGCGGTTAGTCTTCCCACTAGAGGTAGACTTCCCGCCTGGCCCCCATTTTCCCAAATTAACTCTTTTCCAGTCTCTCTCTTCATTTTAGTGTGCGGCCTTCTCCAGAAACCGGACCCTGAGTGGGCCCTGAACCACGCGGGTCGTGTTAAGGGATCCCACACTCAGACTCCTGATCCAGAGAAACTGTGCGATGGTAAACGTGTGCTGTTTCAGCTGGGAAATATCATCTTACAAGTGCAGGAGTTCATCATCCTGTCTCCGATTTCCGTACTTTTGTCTGCTGTCCCTTCTTTCAGGAATGTCCTTCCTCATTCTTGCCTCCCATCTGGCTTACTCCAATTATTACAAAAGTTGGCCGTGTCCACTCTCCCTGAAACTTTATTGATTAGTCAGGCTTTTACCCTCTTGTCTTTTAGCACCTTGTACCCACACTTGCTGCATTGTCATCGATCACACCTAGACTGTGAGATTCTGGAAGACGTAACTGTACCTCTCCATCTCTTCCCCCAGCACTAGAGTGTCTATCCCAAAATATTTATATTATTAATATCTGTCCATCGATAAATATCTGAAAGAAAAACTTGCAGGCCATGCCTTTGTGAACATGCCAAAGATTACAAACTCACCCTGGTCAAATCCCATTGTCAGAACAGTTTAAATAAGTAAAAAAAAAAATTCATGGTTAGTGCTGCTGGCCCACCAGTTTTGAAACCACACTCATTGTAATCCATTGCATGAATATTTTAACATAGACAGAAAGACCTGAGATACTGGGAAGATTTTTTGCCAGGAAATTTTGTTTGGATAAAACAGAATGAACCTGAGATGCCTAAGATACTGCCTTGGATTCCAATCCTTTCCAATCTATGACCTCACTTTGCATCCATTCCTGCATCCTGCCTTCTGCCACCACTTTTTGTTTCTCTGTTGCTCAGCCTATCCATATTATGCATCTAGGGCATCTAGATGGTAAAGGTGAAATTTCAGTCTGTGGATACCATCTGCATAATATCTCTTGCTATACTTCTGTCCAGGAAACCTTTATCCTGGCTCTTCCTTTGCTTGGCAATACCAGCAAAGCCTCACAATGGTGTGCTGAGGGATTTATTGCCTTAAAGGTTGGAGTTGGGTGCATGGGTTCCAGTTAGGCTATCTTGATTCAAATCCACTGATTCCATTTACTAGCTTGGATACTTTGGACCAGTTATTTCTCTTTCACTTTCTTGCCTTTCCCCCATTTTCTTGCCATTTCTATTTGGTTGACAGGATGATTTCCTTCCTTCAGATATCTCTGCACACTGGTATCTCATCCCAATTATCTTAGTAATTATCCCTTACAAGGTATCATGGGGCAAGTGTTACCTCCATTTTTTATTTTTTTTTTCAAATATGAAAACTAAGGCACTAAGAGAGATAGTATGAACTGATGGATACACTTTGGCCTACACTTGCCTAAATCCCTTTTGGTGAGAACTTTTCTGTCAAATCTTCTTTAGTAATAATAGCCCACATTGATTTCTCTTTATCCAAAGCCTATGACATACTCATTGCTCAATTTTACACATTTTTTTTCGGGGTGTGTGTGTGTGTTTGTTCTCTCTTTCATGCGTATTATGTTTTATCAAGGGTACTGACACTAAGGCTGAGGACTATATCTTGCACGTTTATTTTCATTCTTTATATAAAACTCCTGCTGTTGAGCTCTGAGAAATAGATTATTAGGGACATGGAAGGTAATGGCTAGAAGACAACCCAGCGGTCTGTGCCAGTTTCTAGGAGAAGGGAGGTTCCTGCATGTCAGTAGGCAGGTGGGCAGGATACACTATTGACTAAACATAAGCTTCAACATATCTGGGCCCTGGTCAATTTCTGCATGGAAGTTAATAGTGATCTCATACACTTTGAAGACATACACTTTGATTAGTTCTGGTCCCAATAATTATTGCCAATATGTGGCCAATAGAAATCTGCTTTTTCCATTCAAGAATTTTTTTGGTATTCCATTGGACAAAATGCTTTATTGCTCTAGTTGACCCTGGCTCAAAAAAAAGTTACAATAAATCTTTAAAATTTTTTTCTCTTTCATATCCCAAAAATGATAGTATTCATCTAGTGAGTATTCAATGTAGTTGAAGTTGTATATGCTTGTAAGCAATGATTGGTATATATATTTTTCTAACTACTGGTGCCCACCAATAATTCAGAAATGCCTTTCTCCTTATTGAATGTTCTCTGTTTATTTGGATAATTATAGTAATTGTTGGTAGACCTTACTTGCCTTTTCTTTACCTGACAATAGATGCTTATTTTGCAGTGTGAGTTCAGATTTACTTCTAAATTTCCTTTCCCACATAGGTCACAATGAACTTAAGCCCATAAAATATTCATGTTCAACTTCCTCTTTTCCTTAGTTATTTTGCCTTGTTGACCCTTACTTCAACTTTCCCTTCCCATACAAATGTCACATTTTTAGGACAGATTCCCTCTGAAAATAACAACCTCTGGTCTTTACACTGAGATTATGGAGTGTAGGAGGTAAGAATGAAACTTAGGTGTCTAATATTGATTCAAGATTATGACTCTACTCCCCTTTGGCCAAGTGACTCATCTCCTTTAAGCATCACTTGCCTCATCTATAAAAAGGTAACAATATTTCTCTTGTAGGGTCATTGTGAGGATTAAAAGAATTAAAACATTTCCAATTCTTAGTATAGAGCTTGGGACATAGCAAATGTTCAGTAGGTGTTTATTATGATTATTCACTTTCCTCTTGTCACTGTCAGCTCTATCCTCTGAATCCTCAATAAGCTAGCCTATTATCATCTCATCAAGTTGGCATATGTTAGAATAAATGTAGTACTAATAGAAGACTCATGGATGGATTGCCAATGATATTTGTGTCATAAATAATGTTAGTCCATGTTATCTCAAAGGGAGCAATTATAACTGCTTCAATATGCCCTATGTACATGTGTCTCTCTCACATAGACATCTCTCTCTATCTCTCTTTATCTCTCCCTCCCCACTCCTCCTTTCCACCTTCCACATTCTGAACTTGACTGTTAATCCTGCTAGTAAACTCCTGACCTTGACTTGGTATCAATTTCCCTTTGAAACCAATCTATGGCTTCTGCAATCTCAAGCAACTCTAGACTTCCTCTTCCCCTATGCTAGAACTCCGGGAAGCTTCCTAGGAGTGCTAAATCATCAGCACCTTGCCCCCACCTTTTTTCAGGAAGTCTGACCTCATAGCTATAACAGGAAATCTATGATCTGTCTTCTCCACACCCACTCCTCCAGGGAGCCTATCAGACTTAATCAGAGAAGTCAGAGTTCCTCACTGTTGTTTAGGAACTCAGCTCCTCCTCTTCCTTCTTCTCCTTTTCCTCCTCCTCCTCCTCTTCCTCCTCCTCCTTCATGTTTGTCTTCACCCAAGGATTTTTCCCATTGATTTTTTTTAGAGAGATTGGAAGCAGCGGGCAGGGGGGAGGCAGGGGGAGAGAAACATCAATGTGAGAGACACATCAATTGGTTGTATCTGCACATGTCCTGACCAAGACAGGGGATTGAGCCTACAACCTAGGCATGTGCTGTTGACCAGGAATTGAACCCCCAACCTTTGGTGCATAGGTGATGCTCTAACTGAAATATGGTAGCAATCATACTTGGGTAAAAACTGCTGTTTGAATTTTAACCTTGCTATCTGACTTCGACCTTCGATTACTTGCTTAAACAATAGGGTAGTTATCGGAGATTGACTCCCACTGACTCAGTGGCTTTAGGGGTAGAAACTATAGATAACCTTTGATTCTGCTTTTGTATTATGGGCAAGATAGGGCCACATTCCAATGTCCAGCAGGGTGTGACTGGGAACCAACCCTTCGGGCTGTCTCCAGTCTTTAGAATTTAGTCTTTAGGATTTAGGAACAGATAACTGATTGGCCAGTTCTTTGTCCTGAGGGGCCAATCAGGATTAGCCAAGGCAGTGACATCACCACCTACCTGAGTAAAACCCTGGACTGGGCGAAATTCATTCTCTTCCGCCATGCTGTCGGCATGAGTGGGACAGCCCATGCTAGCATGGAGAAGTCTCTTTTGTTTATTGCATCGGACTCGGCTCCCTGGTGGTCCTTGGGGATCATGAATTCGTCTGAGATCCCCAGCCAGGACCATGAGGGACCCCAATCCGGAGAGCCTGACTGGCCGCAGTAGGTGTGTGTTTGTCTGTGTTTTTGTGTGAGCGCTCTGGAGGGACTGCCCCTCCATCGGGGCTCTCACCTGGGTGTTTGCCGGCTGCTGTGTCAGCCAAGGTTTGAGCCCGGATTCGAATCTGTAATAAATTCTAGCATGCTTAATCAAATTGGCTCCGGTGGTCCATCTCATGGGGACTCGCTCCGTAACACTAACCACTAAGCAAGCAATAATGGCCAAGGCAAGAACTCAGTGTCTTAATCCTCAGAACAGCCTATCCCTAAAAAAATGTATATACACCTTGTGATTATAAAGTCAATGTTTATTAATGTACAGTTCATTTTCAAAATTTAAAAGAATCTACAAAAATGAGTGTGTATACATTTTTTGGGTACACCCTACATGAACATTTCCAACAATCAACTGGCAAGTCAAGAATGAGGTTAGGAGCATTACCGGTAAAGTTTTGGGAGGGGCAGGGATTACCTGTTACACCTTATGGTAAACCTGAAGTAGAAGCAGACAAAACCCCTGTATCAGGCAATTTCTTGCTTGCTCCAGAATTGGACCATTTCTCCTGGTGTAGTTACGAATTACTTCTCTGTGCTCTTTTTTCCTGGATTTTTTGTTTGTTTGTTAATTGTCACTGAAGGTATTTTTTCCATTAATTTTTAGAGAGCCTGGAATGTGGGAAGGAGGAGTGGGGAGGGAGGGAGGGAGGAATAAAGATAAAGAGATGTCTATGTGAGAGAGTCACATGGATTAATTGTCTCAGGCACACATCCTACAGGGGATCTTGCCCACAACCTGGGCATGTGCCCTGACCAGTAATTGAATGGAGAGCTCCTGTTTCATGGGTTGACACTCAACCACTGAGCTACACTGGTTGGGCTAGATTTTTTTTTTTTTTTTTAAACAACAGAATTTGATATATAACTTGGTTCAGTATTTATTTCAGATTTCTTACCTTAAAGACCTAGTCAGTCTTATTTTCCTACCTAATCTTTTCTTATTAATTACTGCTTTATTGATATAATCCACAGACCATTAAGTTCACTCTTCTAAAATATGCAATTTTTAGCAGATGTACAAAGTTGTGCTTCAATCACCACTATCTAATTCCAGAACATTTTCATCAACCATAACCATTATCAGTTACTCCCCATTCTTGCCTGCTGCAACCCTGGCATCTACTAATCTACCTTTTGTCTCCATGGATTTTCATCTTTTGGGATTTCATATAAATGGAATCATATAATAAGTAGCTTTTATGCTGGCTTCTTTCACTTAGTATAATATTTTCAAGGTTCAACCATGTTGCAGAT